ACGGTAATTATCGTGTCTTACTTTTGTTAAATACCCAGTGTCACAAGATTTGACAAAATAAATTATTATGGTTCTATTACATGATAAATAGACTGACTGTCCGCAGTTTATTTTTCTAAACTTCACAGTGAGAATGGTTAGAGATAATAAAAAGTCCTGCTATCAGTAATATTCCAAATGCTTTGACATTGCCAAATATCTTGAAACCAATGTTTTAACAATTCATAATGTCATCTCGTTTCCTCTCATGAAGCTTTAAAGATGCTTCCAGGCTGCTAAGACACAGGTTACATATTTGTGCATATTAGTTTATGGTGCAGCTTTGTACTTACGGTTATGAACAACATTGTTCAGCAACAAGACAATTTTCAGTGAAACCCAAAAAAGAGCTCTCCATGAATGCCTTACATTAGTTTGTTTAAAGATCATGAGATTGAGAGAATATTTTCCTACCCACATCAACGAACAGTGAAAGTGTCACCGTGCAGTGGGGTTGTTTTACTACCTCTCTGACCGGAATTATTAAATGTGTCAAAAGAAAACAGATATTAAATTCATATAAGTGCCAAATGTATCTAAAATCTTGTCTCAACATGAAGCTCTTATCTTGTTGTAGCAAAACATTACCCGATTCATTCATCCTCCAATACAGGTGAGTATAAAGAAAGAATGAGGTGTTTGAACTAGCCAGTGTAGAGTCTATATACCATACTATGTGAAGAAAAGAAGGGTCCAATAATAAATCTGTAGTGCAATAAATCTTTGTATTTTGTATTTACTAAGATAACATTTATTTTGACGACCTAAAAATATTCTTGCTTTATTTTATACATATGATTATTTTGTGTTAGTTACTAAATATTGAATTTCTATCCTAATATTCATTTTTCCATGTCCTATCCATTTTTTCAAACAGATACTTTCCATTTCCCTGTCCTCTTGCTCTTTTTAACCAGCAATGAGTCTTTTGTTGGCTTCGTCCATGCCTCATCTGCTGTCATTTTTGTTTAGCCTCTCTCTCTCTCCTTCCATTTCATCACCAAAGATGAACTGGCCATGAAGCTAACAATCTCCTTGAATGAGAATAATAGAGAAATGTTGAGAGGACTAACAACACTGAGTTTACTGAGTTTGGCCTCCAGAGCTTTTCTCATAAACAGAAGAAATGAAATCCCTGAGCTGCTTAGGAGTTTTTTTTTTTTTTTTTAAATCCATTCGTCCTCATCTTTCACTGTTAGAAACACCAACAAACATATTGAATCCACACATATATCTTATTGTAAATGATTCAAACGATTTCCATAATGCCTTCTCATTTCAAAATGTGCATAACTCATATTGGAAGGTATAAATCTGTAACTTGTGAGTAGATTTGAAGGACGTTTTCAACTTTGCGATTAGTAATGAAAATGTACACTTTTATCTCATTAAGCCTATCCATTAAATGTAGCAACATTCAATTAACAATGATAACATTTGGAAATATAAGACTTACACATATCTATGATATAGGAACAGTTGCTGCTGTTCAGCCAGTGATGACAGAGTTGTTTCATACATTTTAGCCAGAATATCCTGATTTTCATTAATTTTTAGAGTGATCCACATGCTCGCTGAGCTCTCGCAGGCCATAAAACCCACCCCTTCTGTAGAGAAAATTAGGTCTTGTATATTATTCACCTGTCATGACAAGCAGATATGTAGATCTGCCAGAAGTGCATCTTGTCACACAATGAATGTAGTTGTCATGCTAGAAACACTGTAAGAGCACAAAGCGATAAACATTGTGAAGAAATGATGTTGCACATGCGAGTAATCAAAGTGACATTAATGATATTAATGTGAACAACATACACACAAAGATTCTTGAAACTGAAATGGCTAACAATGTCACTTCTCAAAATATTACTGTGGCAACAAACACAAAGAAGCACAGTACAAACAAGGTTTCAGCTAAAACCTCTGTTAATTGAATAGTTTTCTCCAAATTTGTGAAATAGATATTTTATAAATCCAGTCTTCAAGTCCAGCACAAATATATTGCTCTGTAGATATAGATATCTATGTCAATTTATCACTCGATAGACTGACTGTAATATAGGTATATTTAAGATACATTTAAGATATATATATTTAAATCTGATATATTTTGGGAAAAAAAAATAATAATAAAAAAATATATATATATATATATATATATATCAAAAGTCAAGTTGAGCTGATATATTAGGCCCTTATATTAATTCAATTTAAATGTAAGAGATTAGTAAATAATTTTACTGTTGTTTTAATTGTCTCACAATTTGTTGCACTCAATAAAATAATTGACTTACAAAAAACTGAAAACTTTAATCATTGTTTAATATCTGGAACAGGCTTTTGACATGAGCAGGAGAGCACAGGGATAATTGACAGGCAAGTCTCACCAAACCGCCCACTAAACCTGGGTGCTCCAGCTTCACACAGATCCTCATCTGACAATGTCTAGTCGACTCAGATGGATTGCACATCCTGGGAGGATTTGTTGTTGTTTTTTTCTCTCTCTCTCTTCAAAGGCGAGACAGTGACACTTGTGAATCTTTGATGGATTAGATGGCTGTGCTTGCTGTGACACAGTCAAGGAGGACAGTCTTGATATGACTGATGCCTTGGGTAACTGCCCATCAAGCAAGTGAGATGAAAACCATATTCTTCTGATGCAATCTCTGCTGCACCAGATTTAGGGATTTGCAGGTGGATTACCTTCGGCAGAACTTCTGACATAAAGATATATTTATTTTTCAATTATTTCCAAAGGATTTTGTAAAATGGCATTTGTAAAAACAATGGGTTTATTGTTACTGTTCTTGATGGTGTTAACCACAATAGGAAAAAAAATAATTGGTCACCAATAGGTAATATTAACAAATGCAGCTATTTTTGTTCAAGCATTACAGCTGAAGACAATTAGTGAAACTCTTCAACGTGTTTTTTTTAAGATTCAGAAATAATATGGTATATTTGCATATGGCATCTCTGAACTGATCTGCTTCCCAAAATTACATTGCCACACAATGTGTTGGTTGTGTGGATTTTTTCATTTTTTTTAACCCATTATATAAACATTAAAAGCGATGAACTCCACTGGATGCTTAAAGTAAAAAGTGCTTTCACAATTAGATTTTAAAAACATGGAAAAGTTTCCTCTAAAACAGTATCACTCAAACGGTTGTGATTTACAGTACTAATCAATACATTCACCGTTATGGAGCATTGTCAGTAATTCCAAAGAAGGTTTAAATATTTGCCAACAGATTAAATGTGCTAGACAGTTGTTCCTCAAGCATGTAAAAAACAGTTTTGTTTAATTGAAGGATATATTCATACTATTAAACAGGCAGCAGCTACTTTTACGCTCAACATTGAACCGAAGCCTCGGACAAATGGCGAAAAAGCAAACTCATTTTTCCGCATTTATCATAGAAGTGTATAGTTTCAGGATCCTGGATCCTCTTAAATTTTAGGGTAATAACGAAACAAAGAAAACAGATCTGGCCATTTAGCTCTCCACTCATCACCATGAACTGAACATTTTATGCATTAAATGTCTTCCAAAATCCTTCTGACTGTCACTTAATCACTAGGATGATGTGCCATGATGTAATATACCTTTTTCGATGCAAGTTAGCTGCTGCATACGTAATAAGACACCTCCACACCCCGGGCTATTTACCTCTGTAAATGTCAACATGACCCTTTTATTGCAGTACTATTGAATTAAATGTGGGAGCTTATTTTAATTAAAATGTATATATAGTTTCACTCAGTTTGCAGAAAATAACCTTTCTATTGTCTGACGTGAAATAGAACAGTTTTAGTCTATATTTCTCAAGTTTTGGTCATAATTGATTAAGAGTAATAGACCTATTATGTCACGGAACGAGGAAGCATCTTGAAGCATCTTGACCCACATACAGAGATTCACTCAGGAGACCGTAGACCTTTAACAATATTTATTGCATGATGTTCTGTGGTGGTGCCGGGAAGTGTATTTTGGGAAGGAAGAACAGTCCAGATCCAGTTGGAAGAGGGCAATCCTCATGCAGGGGTCCTTGGTTCAGGGAAAACAGAAGCTGGTACTATTGGAGGGCGAACAGGCAGGCAGAGGATGGAAGGCAGGCTGAGTTCCAGGATAGCACTGGTTTGGTGATCCGGTAGTTGGCTTCCAGGAAAGGTGTGCTGTATGCCACGAGGGGAGATTCCGGGGAAAACACTAAATGAATGTGTAGATGGTTATTCTGAGAGAAGACACTGGGAACGAGAAAATCTTACTACTGTGCAGCTCGAGTTACCACTTAGGTTGAGACTTAGGCGAGGAATGAACCACAGCCAGCTCCTTAAATGCTGCAACGCCCTCCTGTTGTAGATTCTCTTGAGACTCACTTGAGACTCTCTCTCTTCTCTTGACACTAGCAGGCACTATTGTGTTTCATGAACAGTGATTTGATCTGCAACACAAGTGATCTACATAGAAGAGACCAAAGCTCACCCACAATATAATTGTTATGGCGATTCATAAATTTGATGTCAGACTAATTTAAATAACAGAACATTTCCTTCCTTCCTTCATTCTGTCTGAGTTTATGCAAAACAAATGTCTTGTTTTGGTTTAAAAAATACTTTATACATTTGCTACAGTTTACTGAAGTTTACCAAAATTGAGACAAAAATTTGATATTTTTGATCACTTATAATTTTTCAGTAGAAACAGAAAATTGATCATGATTGAACATTTAAAATTCCATAAAAGCCTCTATCAGTTGTTCTTATTCTATTTGTTTAAAATACTCTTCTTGAAGAGTATTACAACATTCCCATTTGAAAAGCAAATATAGCCAACAACCTTTAAGGTTATCTCCCTTCTACAAATGTCAACAGGTATGATTGATATCATGACTTCTCACCTGTCATCATGCTTGACTTACATGAAATAAAAAGCTTTTTGTCATCTTAATCTATAGGAGGTGAGTGATGCAGACATCATGGAGCTGGTTCACAGCTCTCTGGGTCGGATGACTATCATTCGTCAGATTTTCCCATTGTGGAGGGACACAAACGTTCGCTGCATGAGGAACAACCATCGGATTTCTTCCTTGCTGTGTGACCCACAGGAAGGCTACCTGCAGTCTTTGGAGGTAAAAACAAAATGATACAGAAATATTTAAACCGACGCTCTAAACATTTTTTCCCACTGTGAATAATACAGCAGCCAATTACCTGTTTGATATCACCTTTTATGATTTTGTAAATAAGAGGCACAATATATATATCACTTTGAAACTGTAGATCTTGTTTCATTTTTAAATTGGTGCCTGCTGTAATCTTGCAAGGCAAACATGAAGTCCTGTCCTGTAATTTGTACTCTACACAATAGATTCCAGCAGGGTTTTATATTATTACAATAAATAAAACGTTATACTGGCAAAAATATAAAACAAAACATTTGACTCCAGAGTGTCCAGAGTCTTGTTGAAGAAAACCTTTAATCGGCAGCATTATCCATGTGGCTAGAAACTGGTTCAGATTCTAAGGATAATGAATGTACAACATGAGAGCAACATTATATGATTCACTTTCTTTGGCAGTAAATTTTAGAAAGACATAACACAAGTGTGGTTTCTTTTCCAACTGATCCACTTTAAGCACATATGCTTGCAAAGGAACTGTGAGCCTAATTCCTACAGGACTTCTTACAGTTTTAGTTTTACCAGTGGAGCATGAGTTGCATCTAGGGGCATCTGCCAAGTGCCATATGACTACAAATAGTAACTTATTGTTATTATTTGTTGTCACATTTACAGTCATAGATGTGTGTAGGGGAGAGTAAATAAAGTAATTCTTGCTTTAAACTTACAAAAAGCCTTATTTACCCAAATTATTTAAAAAATGCTATCCTATACTGAATTTTCAATACTTAATAAACATTATATTGCTTACTGCACAGGAAACAAGCTTAACAATGGTTTTTGTAATAGTTTCACACGCTCACAAACTGGAAAACTAATTTGATTTGTATCAAAGATTTATTTCAAAAGTAATTTCAGCCACTGACAAAAAGGAATCATGACAAATATATGGTTTATCATCCATCCATCCATTATCCATCCATCCTTTATCGCTACCACTAATTCCCTATCAGGGTCGCGAGGGAAACTGGAGCTTATCCCAGTGGTCAATGGGCGAGAGGCGGGGTACACCCTGGTCAGTCCGCCAGTCCATCCCAGGGCCATATATGGTTTACAAATGTGTCAATTCTATAAGTCATTGTCTTTCTTTTTTGGGGGTCGTCATGAAAATAACTTTGTATGATTGGAAAGTTCAGAGTGCCTCATTTCACATCTTAGACTTTTGTTTCCTTCAATTCATTGGTAGTGTAATGGCCACACTCCCTATTGGTCTATTGAAATGTTCATTCATTATGATCCATAATACAGACAGATGGCAAACCCATGTGGTTTGTGCTCCCACAGTCCTAAATAATTTACATTAAGGAGGGTTAAATATCGGGTAATGACATTTGAAGTATTCATTAGAAGACTTGAGCGCTGAAAAGATGGCAGAGGTTTCCTACAATAATCTCCGCCACAAACCCTCAGGTGTGCTATGACCTCAGAGATCCAAATCTTTTTAGCTGAATTTCCCCTGGATTTAGCCTGTGACTCACTGACCTTGAAACAGGTGAAGCTGATTCATAGAATATCTTACCACTGTGAGCGTCAGTCAAAATTTCAAAGTGTCATGAACTTCACGCCTGGAGTAGCAGTCAATGTTGTTGCAATGGAAAGTCTTCTATTGTTGGTCTGACTTTACTTGACACAGGAAACCTGTCAGATCATCTGTTGGATTAACACACAAAGCAGTAGACATGATTCCTGACAGGATACTCCACAGTCAGGGAGACAGCTGAAAAGATAGTAGTCTCAAAAAGCATCTAACAGAGGAATATTGAACCACAAGGAGTACATCTGTTTTCAGATCACACCACAAAACCATGATCACATCACAATACACATTTTTTCACCAGCAGGCAGACATCATTGTTGAGCAACTGAATGTCAATGCTTAGTCATTTCTGCCATTTATAAAATGCAGACACCCATAAATGGGAAAAACAAATTAGTTTAATTCCAAAAAAAGATGAGACAGAAAAAATAAACCAAACCTTTGCACTGAGTGTATCCAGTTATAGTAAGGGGGTAAGATCTTATATTTCACTAAAGATTTTCTTCTAAAGCTGTATTTCGGCTTCTCCTATAAGGGTTCATTATACGGCTGTGGCATTTCCTCTGGAACCCCCTAAAAAATACAATTTATTTGGTTTATATCCATAGATGGTTTGCTGTTTAAAAAAAAAAAAAAAACATTCCCGGAAACATAAAGTAAATTTCCTATTTTTTCTCAAACAGGTATCCAACCTCTACCTGTATGACAGTGTTCTGATGCTGGCAAACGCCTTCTATAGGAAACTGGAGGACAGGAAATGGCACAGTATGGCCAGCCTCAACTGCATGAGGAAGTCCACAAAGCCATGGAATGGAGGATGGTCTATGCTGGACACCATTCAAAAGGTATCGTAAGTTTTGTATTACTTATTTTGTAATGTCTGTAATATGGCATGGATTAATTTAAAATTAAGAAGCATTATATTATGTCTTTAGGAAAGTTTGACCTGACTTAGTAATGTGATCTTTACCTTCAGTTTGATACTGGATTTGGCAAATTCTCAGAGCCAAAATTAGAAATCAGATCACTGAACTGAGGTCTTGTATTCAAGAGAGCACTTTGATGTCATCCATTCTAGTCTGACAATTGAACTTTCACTGTTGCTCAGAGCTATGCTGATTTGATTTATAATGTGATTTAAGCTGACCCAGCTGAGCATGAAGTAATAACAAAGCAACTGAGGTCATTGAGATGTTCATGTTTTTGTCTTAGTTATTCAAACTGAATGAAATCCATTTTAGAAACAAATTAATGTTCTTTTACAGTTTAGATTTATTTAAAAGTGTGTTACTATAGCCAATTGCCTGACTGTGATATGCCTCATATGTTGTATATCCGTCTGAAAAAAGTGTGAAAAATATAAATGCAGTAATTTAATTTCATTACATTCTTATAAAGAATAAAACCAAAGTCATGAAATCTGAATAAGGATAAGCACTCCCAAAACAATTAAGAAATATTAATCTATTCTTTATCCAAGTGTCCATGTTTTGCTGCTGTCGTTCCAGGGGCGGATTAGTGGTTTGACAGGATTGATGGACTTCCGTGCTGAAGGCTCCAATTCTCATGTACAATTTGAAATTCTCGGAACCAGCTACAGTGAAACATTTGGTAAAGAAGTAAAACGGGTTAGTATATTTTTGTTTTTTTGTACAGATATGGAAAGCAACATCAAGTAATAACAAGGAACGTTTTTAAAATAAACAAATAGGTTCTTTGGTTTTAAAAACATCTAATGAAAAAAGCTCACAATATACTTTAGTTATAGCACAGAGAAAAAGTTTTGTCAAGGGTTTTTCTTACAGACATAAAATCACTAGATGTAAAAAGAGCCTCAACACAATCACGTAAACACTACAAAGGTAATTCACCAATAGCTAGCCTAACCATACACTTGTTTGCAAAACTTATTTTGTTTTTTTTAACTCTGATCTAAGTTACGTTTTGAGATTCTATGACCATCATTTACCATTCCGAAATATTTTCATAGTAGTTATTGCAGCACACTTAACAGCTACTGCCAGCCCTTTTGTTCCCTGAAAGAAAAGCCACTGTGCTTTGTTCTCAGTGCGAGCTCTATGCATTACAGCAATCCATTCGAGGTTCCTTTTTTTCTTGGATTTTCTTGACTGTCTTATACAATTTGTTTTTTATTGTAGGTCCTCAGAAATATTTTGTTTCTTGTTCTATATCTATACTTTAGTGAACAGATGGTCTTATTTATTCATGTGGCATCAGGCGTGCGGGCACCCTCTACCGGTTCTGCTGAAATGAGCATATCTAAAATTATTCATCAACATCTTAAATGCCAACCTTTTTGGAACCTTCTTCCTTTGTTTTGTTAAAAAAAAAACTGAGTGTGATATGTTGCTGTGAACTTCTTGCTGGGAAACATGTTTGATATTTTAATGTTGTGGGGCTGAAGTGAAAGATTGAGGCGGTAATTCGTACACTTCTGTCTTAGCTGTAATTTGTTTGTCGCTTTCTGTCCTGATTCAGTCAGTGAGTGCTTGCAGAATCAAGAGGAATTGGGGTCTTGGCAATCTATGTAGAGCAGGACTGACCAGAAGCTGTAATGAAGATTTAATCACCACTCAGCCTAAGAGAAATTATGAAGACAATATATCATAATGTGGCTAAAGAGGACACAAGCTAACACAGAAACATACATTTTGGTTCATCTGCAGGGTCATGAATTAAACACAATTGTGTATTCTGACTTTTCATATTTAAACATGTTTGTATACATCAAACATGCAGCTTGCCAAAATATAGGTTAAGTTTTCTCTTACTCATTAAATGCAAAAAGGGTCAGCAACGTCAGATAATAACGTGGCAAGTACCTTTAACTCTGTTGTTAATCACCTTGTATGTCTATACAACTGGGCAGAGCAATTTACTATGAGAGAAAAATATATTCACGTATGTTTCCTCCTGGTTTCTCTGTAATAGCTTATCTATAAGCATGCATTGTATTTCTCTGTGCTTATTCGAGGAAAAAATAACTACCACTAAGAAAGAAGCATTAGAAGTTTCCTATTGCTTTTTTACATGAAATGTCGTGAAACAGTGGTTACTCCACCTGCCAACTCGTCAGAAGAGTCCTCATTTTGTCTCTTGCTTTTATCTTTGTTGACATGGACAATCTCCTTCTTCCTCCTCTTCTCTGTGGGCGCTTCTTCCTTTCTCCCCTAACCTTTATCCACATTTTTCAGCCCTGGTTTCCTCTCTCTCCATCATCATTTATCTGCATTCAGTCCATTTTCTTCTCAGCCTGATGGCTCTTAGATGAGGCGTCTTTCTGGTTAGAAGCTGTAATGAAGACTGAAATACTATTTCCAGAATGGCTACTGTGAGATTTCTCCACCACCCAGAGCTGATGCAGAGTGATCGATGCTGTTGTTGTTGTTTTGGTTTTCCAGTTTGCTCTTATTGATGTGTCAGCTCGTCTCTAAGCAGATATTGCTAATGACTTCCTGCTTACATGGAACTCTTGTGGAGAAAAGTCAATTAATTTTAATGTAATTGTTATTACTGGCCTACCAACTTCTAAGCATGATGCAGTCGTGATATCTTAAATGCACAGTCAATATCAGCGCACCATTGTTGAATTAAAACCATATTTTTAACTTTCAGATAAGAAACGATACATCAGCTCAGTATATATTCAGGCATAAATTGTTTGAGATATGTAGAGGAAACATGAATATGGGGCTGTAAAATGACTATCAAGTTCCAAAGAATAAGGGATCTAAAATCAAATAGTTAAATTCTTCAATTAAATTAAATGTAACCATAATTTTATGAACATAGACTTACCCATAGTTGAATTTGGGCCTGAACCATGTTACTTTATATGAGAGAGGTGAAAATAAGGATTAGATAGTGTTCACTTACAGATTTGATCCTCTCCGCCTCTTCCCTCCACCCCCAACCTTCAGAATTCACTCAGACTTCTACTTTTTATGCTGGGGAACAAGTTTTTGCTGAAACTGGCTTGTACCATTCACAAGGATACCAGTTTATCAGTTGGAATCATCACCCTTACAGATTGGTAATGTTGATGATCATGGATGTAAAGGATCCCATGGGCTTTAATGAGCCAAACTGCATGTTGTTTCTGAAATAAGGCAGTATTTCATGACCATTGCACTCTTCCTACTGCTTCATCCTATTTCACGTCGACTTGTGAAGTAGAAATGTCATTAAATAGTCTCTAATGCGTATTTCTCTCTTGCTTACAACAGGTCTGTAGGGGGTTGATGGGGCTGCTGATTCAGCAATTAACTTAAAAGTACAAAGGAATGGAACTTTTGAAATCTTTCTTCTATCCCTGCATGTTTTAAACATCTTTGGCTGCTTTTAATCCGTACAAGGATACACAAAAGATGGAGAGAGCAGCAATTCACAAGCTGAAAGAACAAACACGAAAGCCACTTAATTTAATGTATGGAACCTATATTCTAACACAAGATCAGTTCGATTCCAACTGTTTTGCTCTGTGTCAATAAGATAATTATCCATCTGTAAAGCATAATTGTTGTTCTTATTCTTATAATTCCTAGCTAATGAAGGAATGCCTAACACCTTTTGGTGCCTAAAATCATCAGTTGATAGTTAACCTTTGCTCTTTCAAGCTTTCTAAACACACAGCATTACATTGGTTAACTTATAGTGGATAAGAAAAAGTCAATCAGAGCAGAATAAGATTACTTTGTTATATAGCAACTTTTTAAAGGATTAACTCTTACTGCATATGAATTGCATTAGACATACAGACTTGAACTAACTGGGGTTAAGTATTATTGTCGTTCAAGATCTCTCTCAACTGAGGATTAAGTAAATTATAGTCAAAGATAAATGGATGAAAAGAGAATTTCACTGAACAACCTCTAATGTATTTTTTTATATTTTGCCCCATTCATCATAAAACCTCTGGTTAATAAATGTCACTAAACTCACAACCATAATCTATCTTAAATGCATAGAATCTGTCTTGGGCTGCAGTGTTGCAGTGGTTAGCAATGGGGCCCCACAGCAAGAGGGATCCCGGTGCAAACCCTTCTGGGGACATTTCTGTGTGGAGTTTGCATGCTCACCCTGTGTCTGTATTTTTGGGTACTCCAGAGTTTTCTTACCATCCAAAAAGCATGCAAGTTAAGTTGTATGTCAATTCTAAGTTGGTCTTAGGGTGTGGTGTGTTTCTCATTCGTCTCTGTGTGGCCCTATGATGGTTTTCCACCTCTCCAGGCTTTACCCTGCGTCTGCTTCTCAGCCAATGACAGCTGGATTGGCTTCCCAACAACCCTACATGGACTAAGAGAGTTTAGAAAATAAAAATAGACAGTTTGTCAGCTACAATGGGATGGCCTTCACCTCTATTAGGTTATCTAGACATGGAAAACTTCAGTTACTTGAACATTTTATTTTACCATTTCAAATTTTACATACTTCGTTCATTTTGAAGCCTCTGCTGAGAGCATTGATCCAGGAGATCAGTATGTCTTTTGTTGGATGCTGCAGAACAATTAACAAAATAGCAGTCAGGAAAGAATAAAACTGTGTCTACTACAGAGATAGAACTACTGTTTGATAATGTTTTATTCTTATAGACTAGTAATTGTTTAAAACAAAGAACATTCTGTTAATGTGAAGTGAAACCTTTTATGTTCCATGTTCAAAAGATAAACTCCATCTCAGTTCACTGGTCCTTTCTTTTCTTTTTTTTAATGTTCCATTCCTTCCCTCTCATCTCGGTTTTTCCATTTCCTCCGTCTAACATGTTTTTATGGAGTGAATCCTGCCTCATGTTGCTTATTAGAGGTTAGAGTGATAGAATGGCGCCGTGTCTACCAAGCCTATCTCCAATATATCAGAAAAGATAAGATGTCTCTTCTTGTGACTAATTTAAATGGTCGGCTTATTTTGAACTGTGGTTCTGCTGATTAGTGATAAAACAACTGGTACGAGTCCATCATTAGAATTGAACGAGCAGACATGCACATAAAAATACACCTTTGTATTTTATGGTTTTGTATAGACAAGCTGTGACTCCATTACAACTTGCAGGATGTTGTTGCAGTGACACTAAGCCACAATATATGGGTACTACAGCAGTTTAAAGAAAATATATCCCATCAGCATGTTTATATTATCTTCTGACCACTGATGCACACCCACAATACAGACAATATGTTCCTTAAATGTTTATATCTTACTTGTTATACTAATTCAGAGTCCTTGTTTAAACAGCATCCACAGCTTCAAGCCAATGGACACATGAAATGTATTTTTCCCTGATACATGTACCAGCTGTAGATGCATGTCGTTGTGTGTCTGTACAGGCCTTGGCAGTCGATGGTACCACTGGCTGAAATAAGGCTGTGGTAGGAGGGGTAGATTTGTTCTGACTCCATGTGAAGATCACTGTCTCCTTGGGGGCACAACAAGAAGTTATCTACAAGTCTGTGACTGTTTATCAAGATATGTAAACTCAATCCAAGTGACCGACAGGATCCCACATAGAAGTTCACATAGAAGTTCACTTCTAGGATCACTGATAAATCCAGCATGTTATAGTGACATTATATGTGTGATGAATGCCCCACAAAGCTTAAATGACCGAACTTTGTCATTGACCCAAGTTATGTGCTCTACAAAACACATGAATACAATATAAGGGAAGTGTCTTTTCAAGTGGCAGCTCCCACGTTTATGGGTTCATTCATCATAATGTCTTTCATACAATAGTTTTCCGGATCCTGTCCAGTATTATTCCAAAAGACTTTCATCTAGAAACAATTCAAAATATTTTACTTTTCAAACATGAAATGCTGCAGAAATTGTATACCATAGCAACTATGCTGTCTCTAATGTCTATGGTGAATTCCGTCTGTGGTATGGCTATCAAAGCAGATTTCATACTAATTTGATGGATTCCACCAAACGCAGCTTCAAAATTATTTTGTTCCATCTCTCACATGGCTCTATGACACAGTGTGAGAACTTCAGATGCAGTGCAACTCTATGAATTGCTTCCAGTTATTCAAAATAATGTATTGCTTTGGTTTGCAGTAACAGCTTAGTCATTCATCCTGTTTTCCCAAAGCTCCAGCAGGCAGTTTCAATGCCCTGTCCTCTATGCTCTTGATTATTGTGCAGAATCTCAACTAATTAGTCAGATTATCTGTGAGAATCAATGACTGAACTTTTGCTTAACCCATTTGCATTTTTACATGGCTCTCCTTAAAAAAACAACAGATGCCTATTTTTTAACGAAGCACTGGAGCTTCTTCTGAACATTGTCTCATGTTTTTAGAATTTTTATACAGTATCCAATGTTATAATGTATTGATACCACTACAGACTGCTATGGATTTGTCAGTTTCAGGTCAGAAGTTTAGTGTTGGGGTTTGACACATTCTAAATAAGATAGAACGTTACTGTATATTGTGAAACATTTATTTAGATAACACATTTAACATCACATTTTCATATCAATTAGTCAGTCAAATGCCTTGGCTCAATTAGAAGCTGGCTAGCACTGAGAGCTTGTCAATATGTAAGCACTTTATGCCTCGAATTGGCAGGAAAAGAGATGCAAAATAGATACAACAAGCTCCAAATGTCTAACGATTACAGTTAAATCATTCCAAAAAATTTGAATACATACTTTGTTAGATTTCTGCTGGATCCTGCAATTGAGATATTCCTGGTGCCATGAAAGTTGGGAAATCTGAATTTATTCCTTTTGTCATTTTTAAATGACTGTGCTGTTGGTTAAATAACAGTGTGCATACTGCTCCAGTTTGAGCCTTTTTATTTTATTTATTTGCTTTTAAACTAGAGTTTAAAGCATGTCATAATGTTTAAATCTTTAAGCAGCTATAAGTACTTCGGCTCATCAGGGAAGACTTCAAACCATGTTTGTAAAGCAAGAAAAAAACAGGATACTGTTTTTGAGACTGCATTTGATTTGATAGGTATATAGAAATCTTAAATCCTCATCAAGCTGACGCATCAAAGAGTGGAAAAGGAACTAAAAATGGACAGATTCTATTATTAGCTAATATTATTCCTTACATGCTTTATGCATTAATAAAAAATATTTAAAAACTGTTTTTAGACCAATGTGATCATATCTGCATTACTCACACAAAGGGAGGAGGTCTGGCTTTGCTGTATTTATTTTTAGTGACCTTCCCAGAGGCATGTTGGTGTGCAAAGCTCTGTGAAGTAAAAGTATTCCTCTTTAGCGTTCTTCAGTTTACAGAGCAGAGATTGTTCAGGGTTTCTCATGGAGGACAAAGCTGCTCGTGGAGAAAATAGCCCCCTGTGAGGCAGGCAATGCTGACTGACATTTTGCCCCTGTGCACACTCAGAAACACAAACATGCCCCCAGTAACACACACTGATGAGCTTCGCTATAAGCACTCTTTGTATTTTCTACAAAAAACTACAAATGACTACAGCTTCCTCCCACTATCCAGAAACATGCATGTTTGGGTAATCGGTGACTCTAAACTCACTGTAGGAGTGTAAGGTTATTTGTGTCTTTGTGGTCCTGTAATGAACTGGCGAAATCTCCAGGGCCTCCCCACACCCCTTGGGCAATACATATAAAAAAAATGGATGAATAGAATATAACAAATATAAAGACCCAAGTAACTCAGATACATTGAAACTAATCCGCTCTGTGGAATTTTAAGTTTCAGTTTCATACTTCAGGTGGGTTGTGTTGTGTTGAGTCTATGTTTCCACATCACAGTTTTTCAGCAATCCTCAGAGGGGATGTACTATAATGGCATCCAATATATATGAATTAGTTGACACTATACAGTCTATAAAGTCTGTGGGATAGATGCCTACAAAACTCGTCTCATAACTGACTTGTGGCTTCAGATCAACTGTTAAGTTATTGCTTCAGTTACATTTTGTCCTTTACACTGCCTAAAATAACGTGTCATGTGCCTAGGCACATGTCCAAAATGAACAGAATACACACTACATGAGTGATATTCTGCCCGAGCAAGAACAGTTGACATCCACCCACGAGAGTTGGTGGGTTGTAGGCATGATTCACTTCATCACATTGCTTCATTAATGGATTTCAGCGAAGCTATAGAAAGCAATGAATTGCACCAAGATGGAAGATGGGTTGTGAGGAACAACTGATAATAACCAGAAATGACATTTTCTTCTGATGTTTTTTGATAGTCTTTAATTGCCTCACAATATTTATCTCCTTCACAGTTGAATACCTTTGTTCAGTAGTAATTATGTCTTCCCTATTTTATAGGTGTGTATAATTTCTAGACCATTTATGTAAATGGTGTCAGTGACATGGATATGCTTTCATTTTCTTTGTTCTCAAACTTGCCTCTGTCCATGTGAAATACATTAAGAATACCAAAGTGTTTTTTTCAAAACTTTAATCGAACATATCCTATACTATATGTACAGGCCACTACTTAAGTGCTTATGTCCAATCTTGTGAAAAAAAAACAATAAGTAAAGTAAAGAGGGGGATGTAGAGCGGAGTATTCTGTTTATGATGTAACAGCCTGAAATTGTTATCTATTTTAATGTTTGGAGAAAAAAAGACAAGTTTTCTTCAGCAAAGTCAACCATTTTGCACTGCCATGTTTCAGCCCATAAATCCAACATAAGTCTTAGAGCAGGCCTTTCACATTTTCCTTGGCCACTCTCCTACACAGCTGAAAAGAAGGGTAAGCTGGAAGATATTCAATTGGATGCAGTCCAACTGCATCTGCATCACTTAATGCCTCGCACTGCACCTTGCTTTCAAAATACAATGATGATCGTTTTCAATTCTGCGTCAGTAATACATATAAAAGATATTTGCACAGTTTTCATATATGAACACGTATTCAAGAAAAAATGTACAAGTATATATGTTCTAATGATTTATTAGTACACTTATACAACAGTTTTTATGTAAAAGCTTGTAGAAAAGGGTTAAAAGGAAAAGGGCTCGCATTAATCTGGTGAGCAAAGCAATCCTAAAACAAGCTGAAATAATCAGTCATTCACCTAAACAATGAAAAAAGTACATGAATGAAATATTGAGGAAAAATGCAGCTAGTATCACTTAAAAAAACTGAAGAATATGTTTGTGTGTAGTATGGCCTTGTGGTGGTGTACGTTGTGTTTCTGTGGAAAAGGTACGTTGGATGTCTGTTGCAGTGAGAAATGCCTGTGGTTTGACCCTGGACCGAGTCTTGTTCTGTCAGCTCAAATCAGAGGCCACTCCAAATGATGTCCGAGATCCTTGTCCAGTTCGCAGCACTAATAAAGAATTTAACAAACATTGCCTTCACAACACATGACATAGCTCTGCAGGTGGAATTAAAATTTTAAAAATGAATGATTGTTTAGACGAAAAACAAAAATAATTCTTCTTCTTAACTTGAAATTTTACCTGCCATTTTATTTGAAATAACTGATATTCGGCCTGAACAATCAAATACTTGTACTCTTTGTCTTATCACAGGTGATGCATGAAGTAGACAGCTTAGAAAGAGTTTCTGTACATTTTGGCACGTTCATAAGTTGAACAGCAGGTCCCAATAACAAGTTGCAGACAGCTCCTGCTGAATTTATGAGGAGCATAGGCTTCAGCTGAAAAAAAATTAAGGTCTCATTTCACAGAAAGATTATTTTTGGTTCGCGCATTGTTCATCATCAAATAACAGTAGAGCTGTGACGATTAATCAAAGACTGGCTTTGAATCTTTGTCCATCAGAAGATGCCCACATCTTCTATTTTTAACCCTTCGTTTCTCATCAACTTGATTTGTCATTCCTCTTTTTAGCTGGCGTCTTGGGACTCCACTCGTGGCTTAAATGGTAGCCTGAAGGAGAATCGAATAGAGAGCAGCATGCAGGGAGTCACACTCAAGATTGTAACGTTACTGGTGAGTTGCAGAATTTTTTTTCTTTGAGCACCTTGAGTCAGATAGGCAAATAGTATAGTTTGGAAAATAAGGGAAGGGGATCACTAAGCAAATACATAAATGAAAAATTGACGAAACTCTCAAACACGCAAAAAGTCTGAATATTCACAGTAAAGTATATTTTTTGTGGATCTTCAGAGCTGAACTCGGCATTTTGAATTGTATTGAACTTTTTTCATCACCTCTAAGTGGTGGTGTTAAGGCAATGTTTTGTTTGACAGGTAAAGGCACTCTTATCCAGGGAGTCTGATGAAGATACATTTGGATTTGTTTCAAGAAGTTTCAAATAAAAAAATGCACCTTAGAAAGCAGGGATAGGCAAATTAACGGCAAATATGAGCAGAGTAAAATATGATCACATTCACCTATATAAATGTATGAATTTATAAAGAATTTATGAAGTGATAAACTAATATGCTATAGGGTATACATAGGGTATTATTGCTTCTGCTCTGGAATCACGCAGTGCTTTTCGGTGTTATTTGATTTTGTAGAACTTGCATTTTAAATTTCTGAAATACAAAATTGTCATTGGTGTTAAGAGAAATCCATTTATATAGGGTAATATAATTTTCTTACATATTCTGAGGTTATCAACATAACATTGAGTATTTTGTAAACAGATATTTCATCTTGTTTTTTCCCAACACATTAGACGACCATTAAAAAGCACCCCTAAATTGCGGCAGTTTTTCAATAAGTTCAGATATTATGATGGCAAATTGTCTGGCTTCCTTCTCTCTCCATTTTTCCTCTTTTTCACAGACGATTTACCTGCACCATATTTATTCACATAAGTTCTGCTCAGCTCTCCCCTGGCACAGCCACTTAATCAAGTCATTTGCCCCTGCCCACTTTAACAACCCACCTCCGTCTTCTGTTTCCATCATCACATCTTCCTCAGCTCTCTTTACTTCATCTCCACCCATTTAATTTTGCCCTGACACTTTCAACCCATAAAGAAGAACCTCGAGTGTTAGCAATAAATCTAAAATGGTCATTTTCCTGTTGATGAACCATAGCATTTGCTGTAGGTCCATGCATTATGGGTCAACAATTTTGAAGGAAACCATTCTATTAAGATCAAATTTAATGTAAATCACACCGGTGCTCTCTTCATAAAGGTGTTTCTCCACAGTTCCTGTAATGACTGAACAAGTCCTCGCTTTTATATCCAGTCTGTCTAATAGGATTTTGAATAAATTAAATGTCTATAATTGATGCACACATGATCTTTGCAAGGTTTGAGTATCTATATCTATGTCCTAGACATAGTCATTTTCATTTACATTCTTCTGTGTAATCATTATATCAGCAACATATTACACACACAAAAAAAAGGTTATCTATTTTGAACAGGAGGAACCTTTTGTGATGGTAGCTGAAAACATCCTGGGTCAACCCAAACGATATAAGGGTTTCTCGATTGATGTTCTGGATGCCCTGGCCAAGATTCTGGGATTCAAGTATGACATCTACCAAGTCAGCGATGGGAAGTATGGCTCAACACTCCCTAATGGATCCTGGAATGGTATGATTGGAGAACTCATTAGCAAGGTAAGTAGGTTATTTTTTCTTCCATCTTTTTTCAAATGAAAAAACTTATACTTGAAATTGAGTCCCAATTCATGCTATATTGTTTTGTTGAAAAGCCCAGTATATAAAAAAAAAACACACCATCTCCAAATACCTACAGCATTTTATTTACTTTCCACAAGTTTTGAAGTGCGACACAATCAAACATGTTTGTGCAATAAAGACACTGCGATTTGCAGCAAGCAAATTAGAAATTATCATCAAATCATGACTAAGGAAAAGTAACTATTATGTATATGACATTTCTGATAAAACTTTCAAAAACCCTGTATTTCGCAGCAAGGTCTTTGATGCACGCTGAGTGAATATTGTTGTTAAACTATCAAAAACTGCTAGTACAAGAAAATAAATGACTATATTACAAATACTTCTGCATCCTGCTCATATAAGCTTTTTGATGGTAATATTTTCAAAGTGAAATGCTAAGATAATGTTTTAATATTCAGTAGCTGAAATAATTAACTGATTCCAAAATCCGTTAGGAAGAGGCCAAGGGATCAGATGTAAATTAATATTTAAAGCACACAGTGACTATTGGCATCAAAGTCAGTGATGTCTGCCCTTTACTGCAGTGTGATGTAGAAAAGGCAAAATTTGGTCAACTAATGAAACACGTCTATCTGTATTATGAGACTGTTAAGAGTTATCATATTCTATAACTGAAACATGGACTTGCATGATAAATGGACCAGAAACATGTGCTCAACTTATTCTTATTAAGGTATTATTATTTTCTAATATTGAAAAACATGACTACAATCTATTCTGTTACTATCAATTCACAGCGAGCTGACTTAGCAATATCAGCCATCACCATCACACCAGAGCGTGAAAGTGTGGTCGACTTCAGCAAGCGCTACCTGGACTACTCTGTGGGAATCCTCATGCGCAAGTCAGAAGAAAAGATCAACATTTTTTCTTTGCTCGCACCATTTGATCTGGCAGTGTGGGCATGCATTGCTGCTGCCATCCCTGTCGTGGGCATCATGATCTTCCTGCTAAGACGGATTCAGGCTGTGCGCTGCCACAATAATACAGGGGGTCCACCACCAACAGCCTCAACTTCACTGCAGAGTGCTATCTGGATTGTTTATGGAGCATTTGTGCAACAAGGTGTGTAGGAGACATTAGAACTGATTTTAAAAAATATATGAAATTGGAAATTAAAAAATAGTTGCATTAGAAACATGTATTTTTGCTGAGTATTATAAATTCAAAATGTCAGATTATGATTTGGATGTCACAGAAACTTTGGACCAAGAATAATTGTGATAAAACAGCAGACATAGTGTTTTTAAACATATTTGTATTTCAGCAAATAGCAAAAGCTGATTCAGTAGCTAGTGAGTTTTAGGCACAACACCCACCTTAGCATTTTTTAAGGTGCCCTTCTAAAGGAGAACACCCCATCTTTAGGTCGAGTGCATATCCAGCTATGTCCCTTTGAAACAAATGTCTACTTCAGCAAGGGACGTTAAATCCTGAACTGCATCTATCAACGTCTGGCACTCTGCCCAGGAACCTTTTTTTAGCCAAACACCACTATATTTCAAGTGTTGCTAGATTTTCCTCTTCTTTAGACTTATGCTTAGTGTACCATTTCCATTTGCCATAAATATGGCAAAAAACTGAAAACATATAGTTTTGTCCTTTTTACAGAGAAATCTGTTATTTTAAAAGCGGGTCAGATGAAGGTAGGAAATATTCTTAAACTGTACAGGAGAAGCAATGGAAATAACACCGTTTCATAAAGATTGAAGGCTTGAATAAATCTGATTCAAGACATGAGGATGTAGAGCAGTCAACTACTGCAGCAGAGCTACATCCAGCAAAGTCTCAAAAATAACACTTCACATTCATTGACCTTAAAGTCTGATCAATATTAAAGAACAATGAAGTGATGTTGGAGTACGGTTCATCACGAAAAGACTTCAGTCTATACCCCCCCCATTACATATTCTTGAATGTTCAGGATGACATTTCCATAGACTTACTCCACAATATTACAGTTCATGTTGACATTTCTCTTAAACCATTTTGTTATATTACAAACCAGGTGGTACGACTGAAAAATGTCAAATTTTTTGGAAAATTCTGAGTGATTTGAGACTGACTGACATATTTAAAAAGAAAAGAGCTATTGTCAGAAACGTGCATTTTTACATATATGTTTATACACTGTTAATGTATTCCTTCAATAAAAATGAATGTTGTGGGCAAATTTTTGTCCACAAAATGTTCCTATCTGCACCCTACAGGCAGCGACTCCATCCTGGGCTCAGTGGCTCTACGTATTGTCATGGGCAGCTGGTGGCTTTTCACCCTCATTGTGTGTTCATCATACACAGCAAACCTAGCTGCCTACCTCACTGTGTCACGCATGGACAATGCAGTTCGGTAAGCAACTTTTCCTTTTTTTTCCTCTACATTTTAAAGCAGTCATATTATACAGAAATCAGTCAATGTCTAATTAAAAGTGGCTGCTTAATCTAACATTATCCATGTGTAAATATTTATTTGTAGTTCTCTTGAGCCGTTTATTTTAAAGTACTGCTGACTGGAGTCCCATTTAGGTGTTTCTTAAAGTTGGTATGTAGAGGACAGAATTCTCCAAGTAGTGTGTATTCCATTTTTCAATATGTTGACTACTTGGATAAGTGCACGGGTTTAGGATTCATCTGTGAGCATCCCCATCAGCTCTTCTTGGTACACCATGTTTCTTTCATTTTGGACCTGCTCCACAGAAAATAGCCTGTCCTCAGCCTAAATTTTACTTGTCACTGAATCCAATTTGGTGTGATGCGTCTCCCCAATGATTGCAGAGAGGCATTTGATTGGATTGGTTTCTGTTTTTTGCTGACCATGTAAATCACATGTGAACATGTGAGTGCAAGAAGTGAATGATAAACAGTATGTTGCAAAGGTATGTTCCATGTGTTTGCCTTAGTTTAAACTAAGTCATATCATGAGACCACAACTCAACTAATGTGTTTTATCTTTTTTCCAATCAAATTAAATCTGCCCGTAAAAATGAAGGTCATTACAGGACCTGTCCAAGCAGATGGACGTGGTTTATGGGACCGTGAGGGACTCTGCTGTGTACGAGTATTTCCGAGTCAAAGGTACCAACCCGTTGGAACAGGATAGCATGTTTGCTGAGCTCTGGAAGGTCATTAACAACAACAATGGTTTGGAGAACTCGGTTTCTACCCCATCAGAGGGCATAAAGAAGGTGAGTGTGTATTGTGATTTTTTTTCTGTATCCTCCCACTACTTATTTACATACTTATTTACATATTCAAAAACATCACAGTGTGTAAAGATGATGAATTAGGTCCAATATCTGATGGTTTACTAGGAAGTCATCAATGATGGCTCCAAATACATGCAAATATTTACAAGAAAACTCATCTTTATCCCCAAAAGATTTACTATGAAACAGTTCAGACCTGACTATAATTAATCTAATTAATGGTGTTGTAAATTTCTCACATGGCCTGTCAGGAGCAAAGCCATAATTAACACATAATAGAAAAAACTGATATTTCCTCCTAATACATGTACAGGTTTGTTCAATTTTCATATTATGTATGCCGTTTACTTAAAAATTATTGACAGCAGATTGAGAAATGATCCTTGATTAGACAATGAGCAAATGTACTTGTCTCAACAATTTTAGAAAGCATCCCATTGCGTTCAGTGTTGGTTGGTTGGCAAGATTGCCATGCAAATGCATACAAGAGTGCTAACATGAGGGAAAAGCCATTTTATTTTCTGGTTCTTCATGGCCTACAATGTGCAGCTTACTTGTTATATTGACTCCCAGTTTGACTAAAATGTAAGGTAATTTTTTTAACCTTTTTTTTTTTAATCTAATGAAAAGGTGGTCAGACTACAAAGATAATTCTGACATACAAAACAACATTAAAGAGGGATTTAAGTTTGACTTTAACTGTGGATCCTTCAGGCTACAGGCCACATTTTTTTATTTGAAAATGAATTTTAAACATACTTTTATCTAACCCTCATGTGCATCTTATCCTGTGTGGAAACTCTCAAATTTCTAGGCAAAACGAGAGTCGTATGCCTTTCTGTGGGATATGGCAGTGGTAGAGTATGCTGCTCTGACAGATGATGACTGCACTCTGACGATAGCAGGAAACAGCATGAGCACCAGAGGCTATGGCATGGCCCTACAACATGGAAGTCCATACAGAGACCTCTTTTCCCAGAAGTATGTATATCAGTATTCATTTGACACCAATTGATAGAAATCAATCATGAAGCAGTAAGAAGGGCACCTTGTTTTTATTGAGTGTACCATCTATATTAAATCATTTTATTTCAAGGTGTATATCATCTTTACAGAAAACTCACCTTTGTTCAGCAGTAAAGGAAAATTTATCATTTTTAAAGTTGCGGAAAAAAGGTCTTACTGTTGACTGGTTTGACTAGAGTCAACTATGCAGCATAGTGTTAGCAGATGGTGGTGGAACAGGCTACGCTAGAAATGGTTGCATTTCAGTAGATGAAGCAACTGTACGCAAACCTCATGGTGGACATCCACAAAAGAAAAATGACAGTGCTCTTCAAGTACTTTTAGTTGAACTGAACATTTTTGAGACACTTCATTTTTGTTTAATTCAGTTGTATGACTCAGATCTAATAAAGCCTCAAAATTAATTTGGGACAAGAAAATAAAAAAAATAAAACAAGTAATTATTTTAAAACATAAAAAAATCACAGGCCTAAAATGCTTAGGCAGAGCATTTGGATGAAAAATTATCATGTAAAACAGAATAATTTAAGGCACCTTAACTGACACTGATATCCCCTGCAGAGACGAGGTCATTTATTTGACAAAGCTGGTGTCCGTTTAAAAGCTGTTTGATAGAAGCAGATAGAGTTGCTACAATCCAAGCTATGCTCTTCTCCAAATGTAAGGGGACGTCTTTTAGTTTTAGTGATCTCTAAAAATGGGGCGACAGCCTTTGTCCGTGTCTAAGAGATATTTTCTCCAAGAATGATCTAAGAGTTCTGATTAGTCTGGACTTTTATGACAATAAAAAAATGTAATATAATTCTTCTTTCGAGAAAGAAGTGTTCCATCATAACTGGCTTTAATGCAAGTTTTCCACACACCTTCATTTCCCACTTTCAGGCAGTATTTGATCCCCTTCTTTTGAGTTTACTATTATAGGATATATTCTAGTTACTCATTTGGCTCTAAATATTTATTATTCTGTTATTTTGCTCGTTTCCACAGAACTATTCTTTTATCATTTTATTATTCTGTAAAAATCAACAGCACTGCCCTTCTTTCATACAGTCGTTGCTAAAGATGACCTCAGTGGTAAACACTTACTTCATGAACTTCACACAGTTTTCTGATTGTGTGATTATAACTTTGCAATCCAAAACTGATTTTCTATACGTTTGTATCTGATTACATTAATATGATTACATCATGTTTAAATCTCTGCTCTGTTTTTATCATTCTATTACTCAATATTTAATCTCAGTCATTGATATACTGAGGAAAATTGTCATATTTCATTTGGTGTTTTCATATGAAACTCCACACCTACAGTGACAATGTGTGAAATAATACTTACTCTGTCGACAGGATTTTGGAGCTTCAGGAAAAGGGGGATCTTGACACCCTGAAGCAGAAATGGTGGCCAAAAAAAGGCCGCTGTGACCTGCAGAGCCACACTGATGCTCAGCCAGAGGGCCGGGCTTTGCATCTCCACAGCTTTGCTGGGGTGTTCTGCATCCTTGCTGCTGGGCTGCTGCTGGCTCTCCTGGTGGCTGCGCTGGAAACGTGGTGGAACAGCAACCACTGCAGGAGAGAGCAGTCCAAAGAGGTGACCACTGACAACTCGTCAGGCCAGGGCCCAAGCCTGATAACCCAGAACCGGGCCATGGTGACCACCACGGGTCCCTCTGCCCCACCAAGGCCCCGGTCAAGACCCAGACCCCCGGGGCCCCCCGTCCTGCCCAGAGATGCCACTGCCACACTCTACTTTATGGATCCAGCAGGCGCTGACACCAGCCCCGATTTAGTAGAGCTGCAGTACACCCAGTTATAATAGGTGTGCCTTTAGTGAGAGTTCAGACATGATGTGATCAATCTTCTCATTCCTTCTCATACTGGGAGAGAGGTGTGGTGCCTCTGAGGCATTTCTCATGCTGAGTAAAAAAGTGTTTAAAAAAATGCTAGACCAGTGGTACCAAAAACGTCAAAGTAAACATCAAAATTGTACTTCTGAGTCATAAAGTACTTCAGTAGTGCAATAGCTCTCTTTAGCCCATCCATTCAAGTCTTAATGCTTGAGATCTCTGACAAAATATTACTGCTGTCTACTTGGCGACCCTTCTGCATGAGGTGTCCAGACAACTAAGGCTTGACATGGATCCTTAAACTAAAGTGTGAGCCTTGACCTGCTTGTTTGACTTAACCGTCAAACAATACAGGATTAGAACAATCATTTAAGATACAGCCCTGTCCTAAAATCTCTCAGTAAGTCAAACTCCACCACCAATGGCTTTGGTGCACAGCTGAGTTTGACTTACAGTTGTTCATTTGTTTCAGAGTTTTGTGTGAAGCTGCTCTCATAAGAACCACATACTGCTTTTAGAATGAAATTCATAAGAAGTCTCAACTAAGCAGAGAACACAGGTGCTTAGATTATAATGATTTTTTGTAGACGTAGTGTTCTTCCAACATATTTCTTTGAAATAACTCTTTGTGGGCGCAAAATTACATTATTTTTTTTTTTAAACAGAAGTAAAAAAATAAAAAATAAAAAAAAGAAATCAGGTTTATCAAACAATAGGTTAAACAGGCAATTTATTCCAAGCCAATTTCCAAAACTCTTTGCTCCTACCACATTAGTAATTTATGCAAGAACACACATCCCCCCTACACACACGCAGACAAACATTCAACTATGTGACTCTCAGAAACAGAAACGTCCAACCAATGTCTCCGCTCTCATCTCTTATTCGTTTCCCCTGTCTTCAGGTTAGTCTAACACTACTGCAATATATACCAAACGTCATATATTGACAGAACGCACACACGCTCCCCATTAAAATTTGAATTTTTAAGATAACGTACATATTCTAGACATGAATCTGTCGCAGGCAGTGAAAGTGAATTATTTGACCAAATGCAGTCAGCTAGTCAACAATCTTAAATAACAGTTTGTTCTTTTCATACATTTTTTTCCATCTACCTTTCCAGTCTGCAGGATGGGCATTAACAATGTTGATGATTTGTGTGGTTGGAATATCACTTCAAATAATTGTATTGCTGGCACCCTGACATCATACAAATGCAGAATGTGGGCATTATGACAGCTTTTTAGAGCAAAACTCTACTGGAAGCCTGAATTCATCAGCCAGCTAGTTTGATATAAGAGGAAATGCTCTTATTTGCTGACTGTCAAGGACTGGAAGAAAACATCAATAGCAGTGCATACATTTGAGAAGCTTCTAGAAACTACTGGCTGAGAATAACGACCATGATCAAATTAAACATCAGGCCAGCCCTCATTTGTTGAAGGAGATGATTTTTTTTAATTATTTCTTCACTGTGATAGGCAACAAGCAGATGCTTTGCATGAGTAACTGACAGGGCTTCCTTCACTGTGAGTGCTTTTCTATCTGGAAATCTGTGAAATACATTTGGAAGTCCAAATGATCACGTGGGAAGACGAGCTCTTGCATCAAGGAGTGGTTTTAGATTCCAACAAATGCCACAATTATTTTATGTCTGGCACTGTTGCTGGGGCTTTAGCAGAAAGCCCTTTAAGGCCCATTCAGAGCAAAGTCTTTTTTGATCAGGTTTCTTTATTGTAAGAGATATGGCAAGTTAAGAAGCTGGTTGAGGCTGCTTGTTGTGTTACTGAGCAACACTTAAAAAGTGTGTCTTAAATTGTCAGTCTGCTGGAAGCTTGTAAATTAAACGCCAGTGAGACGATGTAAAATTGCACTGTATCTACATCATCAATGTTACTCTCTTCATCTTTCAGTGCTTTTAATCTTGTTAATTGAAGAAGGCTAGTACTATAATTTCCCAAAATGTCAATCTATATAAGCCATAACGAAATGCAAGCGTGTCAATGTCCAAAATCACAGAAAATAAGTATATATCACTACCTTCCTGTAGGCCTCAAATAATTACATTATGAAAAGAGTTTCTGGTTCATTGGCATGCCATAATGGGGGTCATGCATATTGCCAGCCTATGGAGAGGCAAAGGCATTTGACATGGGTCAGAAGAGACCTGATGTACTTAACTGGATATTCTTTGGCTGGACAGGGAGAAAAAAGGGCAGGGCATGGAGACCAGACAGGATTAGACTGATTGATCACCCCTCATTTCACCCCATGATCTATCCCATTTCTTGTTGTTTAGTTTTGTCTGACTTAAATGGGTGCATGATAGACCTGAATCCAAACATGAAGCATGGTTACAATTCTCTTATTTTGCTTTCCTAACAGAAAAAAAGAGCTTGGAAAAAAGCTTAATTTAAATTACTTCAACTAACACATTCTAGTCAAAGTTTTTTATGTATTCTGTCTTAATGCGAGCATTTGAGCCAATCTTGTTACACTTCATCTTTTCCATAATCATCACTTCCTGCAGATGTGTTAAGTCTGTTAACATTTAAAGACTTCTGCATGCTTTAAATTCATCAGAGTGGTGTGGTGCCTTTTGACAAACAGACTAACTTAAATAGTCAATGACTAAATAGGTGTTGTATAACGGTTTGTAATTTTATCATTTTTCCTCATTAAGCTGATACAAGTCATTTTCATATCAGTACCAATTAAAGTCATAAACAGACATTTATATATGAGGAAGTTGTAAACTGCATGTATAATGTTGAATATGGTCATTGTAAGCATTGTAACCCGTCTCTCTCCCTCTCTGTTTTCTTCAACTATATCCTCATCCCATTTCCTTTTTAATTTATTCCCCCTTTTATTTATCACTATTCTCCTTAATCACATGCACTCTTCTACCCATAACATTTTCTGTTCTTTCTTCTACATTATTTTATTCCAAACACTCTAGGACAAAGAGGTGAACCTGGAACAGGTCCACCAGCGTCTAAACAGCCTCCTGGACGAAGACTTAGCCCACAAGCAGCTGCCTGGCCAGTCTATCGAGATCTCTGCCCTGGACATTGGCAGGATGCAACCCAGCCAGTCCCTGGAGGCTTTGTCTGTCCGGGACTATCCAGCACACCGGGGGCCACCACCACTCTCTGTGACCACTTTCCTCCGGGAAGGCCACGGGGCAGGAAGGACACTGGGAGCGGCCGTTGGAAGGACCTTGCCTCTGCCCCTCAGCAGCGCCACCATGCCCTCTATCCGGTGCAAACACAGGGCACCCAATGGGGGGCTCTTCCGACAGAGCCCAGTCAAAACACCAATGCCAATGTCCTACCAACCAGTGCCAGGAGGACCCATCCCAGAGGCCAGTGACCCGAGCCATGGGACATCCATCTGAGCAGGCCGAACATTCACAGACACTGAAGCTCAAACAGAAGAGTTGAGAGGAAACAAACAGAGCCAATAATACGAGGCGATAAAAAAAGAAAAAAAAACACTAAAGGATTTTTAATACCAGTGATCAAGTCAGTGAGACTTTAATGTACATATTTGTAATTACTAAGAGAGAGAAGCAACATTAAAAAGTGTATTTTGATTATTCAACAGTTGAGTTTAAAAAAATATATAAAAGTATTAAAAAAAGTGACTGTTCGAATGGCTTTGTAAATTTTGTTCTGAATAAAGGTGACATTTCTTTGTGGTCGTTTTCTAAGTGCCAAGTTAAAAGATGTTTTCTTTAAGATCAACATTAACTGAATGTACTGTGAGAATTCTTAAGACATTTCACACTTCAAAGTCCATTAAAAGAGTTGATTTTGTTTCATATGAAAAAATAAAAAGTGTAACAAACACTCATGTGTGCTTGACTATATATTTGAAGTGACTGTGTCATGTTACCAAATAACTGTGGATCAACGTGTTGTTTTTATGTCTCAGACCTAGGTTTGTGACCAGTCTGGTCTCTGCGTCATCTGAGACACTTAAGCATTTAACAAAAAAGATGTTTGTGTACAACGTATTTACCAATTATAGCCAATGATTTAACACCCCAAAACAACGATGACCATTTGTCCAAAGTTTAATGCAATTAACCTCAACTGATACTCTCACTGTATCACTACTTCTGTGTGTTTTATAGTCAGTCAAGCTCAGCGCACATGCATTAAAAAGATGTCCTGTTCCTGAACATGGCCTTCATATTATACATAAAGCTATTTCACACTCACAAGCAGGCCAAGTGAGCACACACAGAGGATATGTACAAAATGTACCAGTGTGACATGCCTAGCAGGAACCCAGATGGGAAAGTAAATAGCTGGTATGTCATGTTCATCTATGAAAATCAGACAAGATTCATGGTGTGAAGACTGCATACAAAGTAGAAGATATCAAATATTAAAATCTGGCATGATTGTCTTTTAATAAAGAAGATCTGAGCATTTAAAAAAAAAAAGTAATTGGTAGAGAAAAGTAGAAAACTGTGACACTTTATAAATAATTATCCCTGATAAGAGTCAACTCCTGCCTATTTAAACTGAACTACAGCAACAACTGCAACTAATCGGGTTAAGTAGTGTGTGTGAATGTCCAGGAGGTCACTATGAATGTCTTATTTTAGATTTTAAAATGTTTACCTTTTCATTTAAGGCTGAATTTCTAAAAATGCATTTTTGATTTTGCCCTTTCGTTTTTCAATTTGAAATTAAGAAATGTATCTCTTGTAATGCTCTCAAAAGCGTTAACCAACGATGGAGGACCTGGCAGCGACAACACATGGGCTGAATTTCGTGTTTAGACCACAGTGCTGGCCCCTTTTTTACAATGTTGATTGCAGAAAGAATGAAACTGCACATTTGGCGTTGCCGCACTTTACAAAAGTTGTAAAGGATTCTGACTAATCCAGTCAGATTAGTCAGATTATTCCATCTGAATAGGTGCTAAAAACTTAATGGGTGCAAGCAAAAAATAAGCCTAACCACAGTGAGAAGGTGGTAGAATAGCCTCATAGTTCTTTACCTCTAGTATTTTAAGGGGAGCTAGTTGAACAAAGTAGTTAAGCACTTAAACTGATTGTTGATTTGTAGATCAGAGGAGTGTTTTTAAAGCTTTGGCATTTGCAACCCCTGACCTTTCCTCATACTGATGGTGAACAATTCATAACCTAACAAAATAATTAAGGTGTAGGACTTTGCTCTGGGCCAAACTTTTGGATATATCCATGGTCCTCTTTTTCGTCTTCTAAACATTTCTGCCCTCTCCATGTACTAAAAAATATGCTAATCTTGCTTAATACAGCAGCCACAAACCTGCTTACCTGAAAGAAATGTTCTTCAATGTCTTTTCATGTGTGCTACAGTCAAGCAAGTCCATGCAACACATGCTGTTCTTGGGAAAGTTAAAAATACCTGGGGAAACCAGGAGAAATGACAATTTGTTAGAGGATAACAGCAATTGCAAAGTGTGTTTGTCACTGGGTTACTTACAAAAGATACACCCATCTTCAAATTTATTTATCCATCACCAAATAATGGCATGTTTTTGACTAAGAAAAATTTCAGATACAGTTCCCCAAGGTTCTCTGCTTCCTCCACAAGTGTCTTGTCTGTTCATGACCATATAGTTCCTGGCAACTGCCTGTCTGTCATCTCTGACAAAGATTACTGGATTTGGATAATCTTAATTGGATTGGTTTGTGTGCCCTGTTGCACCTATGCGATGTCACCAGAGATGTCATATCTGCTGAAAGGACTGGAAAGGAGTGCCACACAGATTTCCAGTTCTCTCTGGGATTCAATGGTATCAAAACATTTCACATTTTACCTCGTCTTTTACATGGAAGAAAGCGAAAAGACCCATACAACCACAACAAGAGCATTTCATATATTAGATTATGAAGTATTAAGCTGTCCCGAAGTGACATTAATATTAACACCATTTAAATGTGTGCGCCAATGAGTGTAAAAAATATTTGAAACCACAAGTCATTTTAAGATGCACCCTTTTTTTTTTTTTTTTTTTTTTTAATTTTTTAGCCCTGCACCCCCAAATGCCTTAAAAACTGCTCCACTTGAGATCATGTACATGATCTTAATACATTTAAACATGGAGAGCTGGCTATTTGTGTGCATGTTGAGACGGTACCCTTGTAACCTTTCCTGTCAAAGTTACTTTTGTCCTGGATGTGATGCTGAGTGGAGCTGTGAAGCGTCTGACTGTGTTTAAAGAGCCTCACTGTTCTTGTTGCAGAAGCTCAGCTACAGTTCAAAGCTCAGTCCTTTGATGAACCCATTTCCCATGTCTGACTGACAAACAGTCCTTTGCCAACACTTTACATATTGGCAAAGGATAATACGTAAACTATTGATTAAACAAATGTCATTGTTCAAATGTCTTCTTTTGTTTAGATTTATAAAAAACTTTTTAAATCCATTTTTCTTGGAAAGCACCCCTAAATGTGAAGGTGAAAGCTCTGCATGTACTCTAATGTATGATGGCTCAATGAATGAATAATAAGGCTGCAGCAGCAGAATGGACAGACGGTCGGCGATCTCCCCGCAGGGAGAATAGACGTTATTTTGGAGCAGATTGCTGCATACTGCCCACATGAGCTAATTATACAGACTATTCATGCAAGTCATGTATGGCAAACTTTTGTAATGGCCAAATCCCTGTTCCTGCAATCACATGCTACATGACAAACATGCCAACTTTGGTTTAACTTGAGTCTGTTATGATATTTTTAATCTATGCCCAGGGCATCACATTCACTTATTATGCCCTTGCAGTATTATTTTAAACCATTAAACCTTCCCAAAAGACCAATATAGAGAAAATGTCAGAGGTTAATTGTTTAATTGATTGATTTGATTGATTTAAAGTACGTTAATCCAGAACAAACTAGGAGCTGCATGATCGTCATAGTCTCAATTCAGCCGAATTTTAACAAACCCTATACAGTCCTTTGTAACGGAATCAACACACCCAAATAAACATTCTTCTTGATCAAAGAGCAAAACAGAGCTTTATGATGCAGAGTTTAGATTAAATAAATTTCTACAATGAACCAGACTGGGTCTGAAGGGAAAAATGCCCTTTGAATTTTCTTGTACAAGAAATGTGCAATTCAAACTAACTTGCCTTGCCTTTAGAAGCTAAAAACAACCTGCTTAAACAAAAAGAAAACCACTGTGCCTAGTTGGCATTTTAATAAGAAACTGTGTTTAAAATATGATAAATTTTTCAACATGTGGAAGGGACTTTTAGTATACATATGTCAAACAATATTATTTCACATTGCTAAAGCTGCACAAGTACTTCACCATTAAATTATGCATTTCCCACTTATCAGACTATTTGGTGGTTCATCCATAAAAAGATGAACCACCAAATAGTGGTTTGGTGGAGGAGATATTGTGTCAGGCTGTAACTGCTCAGTTGTGAGCAGCACTGATCAGCATCCATTGTTACACTGTCTTTCATCCACAAAGGATTAATCAGAAGCTAACTCCAGCAAGTCCAACGTATCACTGGACAAGCCTGAAACATTTTTGATCCATTTTACCGCATTTACATTATGCATTTAGCAGACGCTTTTATCCAAAGCGACTTACAAAAAGAGGGTTCAACATTCAACTACAGCACCAGTTCCACACTTACCTAACCTTGAGTGCAATATAGTAGAAGATTTAAAAATGAGGATTTAACATTCAACTATGACAGACTACACAAGTACCATATATTAAGTGCTATATGCTATTATAAAAATAAGTGCATTCAGAGATTTCAGGACAAGAGATACTCATGGAAGAGCTGAGTCTTCAATGATTTCTTGAAGGAAGAAAGAGAATCTCATGCTCTGATAGTGCTTGTAAGGTCGTTCCTCCACAGTAGAACTGCAGATTAGAAGACCCTACATTGACCTGTTCGTGTTAGCTGGCGCTCCCTGGAGGAACGGAGTGGGCAAGCTGTGACATCGGGATTTCAGAGGGTGTTGAGGCAGATGGGCACAGATCCATCAAACACTCTATAGGCCAGTATCAATGATTTGAATTTGATGCAGGCAGCTAAAGGAAGCTAATGGAGTTAAGTGAACAGGGGTGTGACATGTGCTCCCTTTGGCTGGTTTAAAACCAAACGGACAGCTGGGTAATCTGTAGCGGTCTCCCAGCACAGACTGGACCGCCTGTGAGGGGGGCATTGCAGTAGTCGAGGCGGGAAATGACTAAGGCCTGTACTAGGAGCTATGTCACATGTTGGGTTAAATATGGCCTAATCTTCCTGAAGTTGAACCGAGAGAAGCGGCACTATTGAGCAACAGAGGCAACATGATCCACGAAGGTCAGCTGATCATCAATAATGTCACCCTCTGTGAGCACCCCTGTGGTCAGCTAGTGGAGT